GTTTTAAACTCTTCCCACACTCTTGCAATATTCTAAACAATGTTTCTAAACGCTCTAAAAGAGCAGAATGTCGTGACCTCAGCTCTCTGCCTCCGGCTGCTCTCTCAGCCACACCCACTTCTCCGCTCTGCACAAGATCAGCTGATCAGCTGCAGGAGGAAGCTTCTCCCACAGCTGTGGGCTGCACAAAGGTGCAGCAGGTGCTAAATAACTTAAAATAATTTATTTTAAATAAAAATTTCATGCCCATCGTGCAGCTCATCCATCAATCAGCTATTTGGGTGTCCTGTCCACTCTTATTTTGAAAAACTGCGACAGAGCGAGTCCACAAAAAACGAACCGCGAAGTAGCGAGGGACTACAGTAATCAAACGCTAAAAGCTGAAAAAATACCGCTAAACCACAGCTGAAAGCTACAAAAAGCTAAACTGTTGCTAAAAGCTACATTTGGCAAAATTGTAGCTAACAGCTAAAAGTAGCTAAAGCAGACAACTAAAATAAGAAAAAGTGTAGCTGAAAACCAAAACGAGCTTAACTAGCAATTATCTGAAATTAGCCGAACATTTCCTGAATGAAGCCCAAGAAGATAAAAACATCTAGATCTCAAAATGTTCTGAAGTTCTCTGTAGGAAACGTTTGTCAATAAAGTTTTTTTTTTTTAAGCTGAAGCAGAATCTCCTGAACGAGCCGAACGTTTTGATCAGCTGAAGAAGATGAACAGTGAAGGAATGCTTGTAGCTCACCTCGATTCATGCCAGAGTTCGGCTCAGACGAGCTGAAGCTGAGGATGACTCTCAGCTACTACCACACTTTACCTCCATATCTGTATGTGTGAGAGGTTTGGCCCCTTTTTGTGAGTTTGACACAGGCTCCAGAGCAATGTGTATATCCTAACTGGGCCTTCCTGAAAGAAGAAACCCAAACAGGACTCCAGTCAGCATCAGGTGAAAAGGAGGAACCCAGACCCAGACCAGTGGTCATTCCGTATGTTGAGGGAGTATCAGAGAAACTGAGACGTTTATTTTCTAAACATAACGTCCCAGTGGCTTTTAAACCCCAAAATACATTAAAGACTGGTTCATCCCAAAGATCCAGTCCCCCGGCACAAACAGAGTAATGTTGTGTATGTTGTTCAGTGTCAGGAGGGTGATCAGTCTTACATCGGGGAAACTAAACAGCCACTGCAGACCGATCAGTTTGCTGATGTTCTGATCCATCAAACCCAGAACCAATGGTGGACTGATGGCGTGTGAACGTGTAAAACTGAACACGGTCCTGAGAACCAAGCTGACCCTGAAGACACGACAACTCCGGAGGATCGGCCCTCAGAGCAGCTCAACGTTCACCTACGTTTGGCTATGAAGCGTCTCCTTCCTACATTCCTGACATATTTCCTGCGAGGCCGTGCCCCACTTCCCAAAGCGTCTGTAGGTGCACGACGAGGCCTGACGTGACCCTAATGACCCTAATGACCTCCAAGCCCGCTGCACAGGCAGCATGAACGGTTCTGAGGTCCGAAACCGGACAGAGACACGACACTTCTAAACAGTGAGAGACGAGGAGAAAGCCTCTCCCTGGAACTCACTGCAGCCAGCGGCGGTGATCTCACCAAACAAACCAGGGTCCCTCATCTCCTGCTCAGCTTCATCTCACAGATTAACAGGGATTATCGCAGCATGTTCAGCCTGGATTATGACTCCTCTGTCAAACATTTTAGAGCTTTGAGATCTTCACCAGCAGCTGAAGCCAACATCTAGACAAGGTTTGTCCGTCTTGACCAGAAAATGTGAACAAACACTTGAGACAAAATCTGGTGAAGACCATCGACTGAGGAACCACCAGACTACTGGACCAGAACCAGAGGACAGACGTTTGGGACCCCGAGTACATTATTTATTTCCACCTCATGCACCACATGTAACGACTTCTTCTTTTTCTTCTTCTGGCTTTTCCCTCATCAGGGGTCTCCACAGCGAGTTATCCTCTGTCCTCTGTCCTCACTCCAACTACCTCCATGTCCTCTCTAACTGCATCCATATGTCTCCTCTTTGTCTTTTTCCTGCAGATGCATTCCTAACATCCTTCTACCAATATACCCACTATCCCTCCTCTGGACATGTCCAAACCACTGTCCCTCCTCTGGACATGTCCAAACCACTGTCCCTCCTCTGGACATGTCCAAACCACTGTCCCTCCTCTGCACATGTCCAAACCATCTCAGTGTGTCCTCTCTAACTTTATCTCCCAGTTGTTCAACCTGTGCTGGACCTCTGATGATCTTGTAACAGTTATGGGCTAGGCAGCTAACTGTGGCTACAAAAGCAGCACCAGAAGATTGTCCTTTTAAGGAGCCTGAGGTGTGAATGAAAACAGGAGGCAGTGTTCTTAGTTTTGGTGTATATATATATTGAGTGATTTGAATAAAAAACAAACAATAACAACAGTATGATGACACAAAATCATTGACTCAGAATAAATTAATTACAAAATCATAAAGTCCATTGTCATCTTTCCTAGCTCGCCATCTTCAGATCCGGATGAGGATCTGATCCAACAAGAGGGAGAAAAAAAAAAAAAACCCGACCTAAAAGGTCAGAAGAACCCATTAAGTATTTTATCAAAAACAATCATGTACAAACATACAAATGAAATAATTAAATTTAGGCATTAGTTTATGCATAGATTCCTAATAATTTGACATGATCAAACATCTCAATAATCAGGTTAAATTAACCATAATTTAAATAAAGTAAAACAAAAAAAGAGCATCAATCATATTTTAAGCTATTCAATTTAAGGTAATCAATTTAAAGTTAAAGTTAAAGTCAAAGTGCACTTCAAAAATAAAGAAAAATAAAATAACTTAATTGTCAAATACTCAAGCAGAGTGAGAGAAAGAAAATAAATAAATATACTGCGCAGTATCAACTTAAGTGCTACATTTTGTTCTGATCAATTTCATTTCTTCAGCATCAATAAAAACGTGCCAGAACATGCACAAAATCAGCAACAAGGTACCTTTTCAAGAGAGAGTGGGGCGTACTTAACCACAATCAGCTGTGACAGAATCCAGTTGACGTCCCTGGTAACCAACGCCACAATTCTAATAAAACAATGCTCTAATGAGCAATCGAGCAGAAGTTTCACATATAAAAACAATACTACTATCTCATAACAACTCACCAGGTAATCAAATCAGTAAGTTCAAAGATTTGGACCAGTTTGGGTGGAAGACGCCAGCAGCAAGCCACAATCACAGTGGAAACAGGTGAAGATGTTCAGAACTGCGTGCTGGAGGCGGGGCTTTAAATAAGTTAGCAGAGTTTGGGGCAACACAGGAAGTGGGCCCACAAAAATAAAAGTCCTTGACTAATTGCGGGTTACAATCTCATTCCTGATCTTCTCCATCCTTGTCTCTCCTAAGGAGAACGTCACCATCTTCATTTCTGCTACTTCCAGTTCTGTCTCCTGTCTTTTTGTCCATGTCTCTGTCTCCAGACCATACAACAGAGCTGGTCTCACCACTGTCTTGTAAACTTTTCCTTTGACCTTTGCTGACACCCTTTTGTCTCAAATCACTCCTGAAACTTTTCTACATCACTCCATCCTGCCTGGACTCTCTTCTTCTCCTCTTCACCACACTCCCCATGTTCCTGGACAGTGGACCCCAAGTCCTTGAAGTCCTGCACCTTTGTGACCTCTGCTCCTTGTAGCCTCACTGTTCCACCTCCTCCCTCTCATTCACACACATGGACCCTGTCTTACTACGGCTGACTTTCATTCCTCTTCTTTCAAGTGCATACCTCCACCTCTCCAAGTTCTCTTCCACCTGCTCCCTGTTCTCACCACAGATCACAATGTCATCTGCAAACATCATAGTCCATGGGGATTCCTGCCTGACCTCAACTGTTAGTCGGTCCATCACCAGAGCAAACAAGAAGGGGCTCAGATCTGATCCTTGATGCACTCCCACCTCCAACTTGAAGCTATCTGTCACTCCTACAGCACATCTCACCACTGTCCTGCTGTCCTCATACATGTCCTGCTGTCCTCATACATGTCCTGTACCAGTCTAACATACCTCTCTGCCACTCCAGCCTTCCTCATGTAACACCACACCTCCTCCCTCGGCACCCTGTCAGATGCTTTTTCTAAATCCACAAAGACACAATGGA